CGATGGAGGTGAGAAGACCAGTATACAAAATTTCTAAATAATAAAATAAATAATAATAATAATAATAATAATAATGTATTGTCGAAGGCTTTCATGGATGGAATCACTCAGTTCTTGTGGGTTTTTTCGGGCTATATGGCCATGTTCTAGAGGCATTTCTCCTGACGTTTCGCCTGCATCTATGGCAAGCATCCTCAGAGGTGAGGTCCAACCTACCTCGGAGGATGCTTGCCATAGATGCAGGCGAAACGTCAGGAGAAATGCCTCTAGAACATGGCCATATAGCCCGAAAAACCCACAAGAACTGAATAATAATAATAATAATAATAATAATAATAATAATAATAAATAACTGGATTATATATTCGTCTACACTGCCATATAATCCAGTTCAGATCAGATAATCTGGATTTTATATGGTAGTATCGAAGGGGCCTGGGATGGGCTAAATGACCTTTGGGGGTCTTCCCTTCTGACTCTAGTGGAATATAGACAGAAAGTCCATTGGTGTCTCTTTCCATGGAAGTTTTAAAGCAAGGACTGGATGACCATCTGTTGGGAAAGCTTGGATTGTGTCAACCTGCATTGCCAAAGTGGGTTGGACTGGATGGTCTCTAGGGGTCCCTTCCATTGATATGAATATGCAAATGAGGTTTGTATGTGTCCTTAATCAGTGAGATTTCCCAATTGTGGATGTTGCTATGCCTCCTTCCATCTCCATCCACGGAACATGTCTTGAGCATCTTCGGTCCAGGAGATACAGGAGGCTGTTAGCGTCTCCATGGCGACAGAGTTGCCATGGAGACGCAAACTGCCTCCTGCATCCTCTTCTGGAGCCTCTGGACCAACGATGCCCAATGCTTCCTTACAAGAGCTATGAGGACTTCAACATGGAGATTCTGGGGCCTTGCGGCTTCCGCCTCCTGGGCTCCCGGCCCTTGATACCTTACTTCCTCCTCCATGCTTCGTCTCCTGCACCTTCTACACCCCCATTTGCTTGCCACTCACCCCAGAAGAAAGCCGGCTGACCGTCAAGGCCAGTTTCCAGGAAAAAATGGGGCGGGAGGGAGGTATTTTTTGGGCAGCCATGATTATGACTTTTATTTTTACATTTCAAGGGCCCTCTACACCAGGCATGGGCAAACTTCGGCCCTCCAGGTGTTTTGGACTTCAACTCCCACAATTCCTAACAGCCGGAAGGCTGTTAGGAATTGTGGGAGTTGAAGTCCAAAACACCTGGAGGGCCGAAGTTTGCCCATGCCTGGTCTACACTGTCAAATGAATGCAGTTTGAAACCACTTTGGTATTCTGGGAGTTATAGTTTCCCTAGGTCTTTAAATAACAACAACAGCATGTTACTTGTTACCATGCCTCGGTACTATGGAATTGTGGGAGTTATAGCTTCCCTAATAATAATAACAACAATAATAACATGTTACTTGTTACTACTTTCTCTTCCATTGTTCAGTATGTTGGCATTCTGGGAGTTATAGTTTCCAAAACACCTGAAGTCCAAAACACCTGGAGACCCGAAGCTTCCCCTGCCAGGTCTACACTGTCAAATGAATGCAGTTTGAAACCACTTTGGTATTATGGGAGTTATAGTTTCCCTAGGTCTTTAAATAACAACAACAGCATGTTACTTGTTACCACTTTCTTTTCCATGGAATCCTGGGAGTTATAGTTATAGTTTTCTAAGGTGTAACAACAACAACAACAATAACATATTACATGTTACCACTTTCTCCTCCATTGTTCGGTACTTTGGTATTCTGGGAGTTATCATTTCCCAAGGTCTTTAAACAACAACAGTAACAACAGCATGGTACTTGTTACCATGCCTCAGTGCTATGGAATTGTGGGAGTTATAGTTTCCCAATGTCTAATAATAATAACAGCAATAATAACATATTACTTGTTACCACTTTCTCTTCCATTGTTCAGTACGCTGGCATTCTGGGAGTTATAGTTTCCCAAGGTCTTAAATAAAAACAATTACTACTGCTACAACATGTTACTTGTTACCATGCCTCGTTGCTATGTAATTGTGGGAGTTATAGTTTCCCAAGGTCTAATAAGAACAACAACAATAATAATATATCACTTGTTACCACTTTCTCTTCCATTGTTAGGTACTTTGGTATTCTGAGAGTTATAGTTTCCCTTGGCCTTTAAATAATAACAACAACATATTACATGTTACCATGCCTCGTTGTTATGGAATTGTGGGAGTTATAGTTTCCCAAGGTCTAATAATAATAACAACAATAATAACATATTACTTGTTATAGTTTCCCTTGGTCTTTAAATAACAACAACAACAATATGTTACCACTTTCTTTTCCATGGCTCGTTGGTATGGAATCCTGGGAGTTATAGTTTCCCAAGGTGTAATAGTGACAACAACAACATATTACTTGTTACCACTTTCTCTTCCATTGTTCGGTACTTTGGTATTCTGGGAGTTATAGTTTCCCTTGGTCTTTAAATAACAACAACAACAACAATATGTTACTTGTTACCACTTTCTTTTCTATGGCTCATTGCTATGGAATCCTGGGAGTTATAGTTTCCCAAGGTGTAATAATAATAACAATAACATGTTACTTGTTACCATTCTTTTCCATTGTTCGATATTTTGCTATTCTGGGAGTTATAGTTTCCCAAGGTCTTTTAAGAAGAAGAAGACAACAGCAGCAGCAACAACAATGTCACTTGTTACCACGTTGTCTTCTATGACTTGATGCTATGGAATTCTGGGTATTATAGTTTCCCAATGTCTTTAAATAACAACGACACAAGTTACTCCTTACCATTTTCTCTTCCAAGGCTTGGTGCTATGGAATTCTGGGAGTTAAAGTTTCCCAAGGTCTAATTATAATAGTAATAATAATAAAATAGGAATAATAATAATAATAAAATAGTAAAAATAATAAAAATTAAAATAGTAATAATAATAAAACATGTAACTCATTACCACTTTCTCTTCCAAGGCTCAGTGCTATGGAATTGTGGGAGTTATAGTTTCCCAAGGTCTAATAATAATAATAATAATAATAATAATAATAATAATAATAGTTTCCTGCACTGGCATGAAGCTAGACTAGATGACCCTTAGGTTCCCCTATAACTCTGCAATTCTTTAAGTATAGATTTTCATGCAAAATTTGGGGCTGGACTAGATGCCCCCTGGGTACCCCTATAATTCTGCGCATTTGGAGCCATAAGATTCCCTTCTTGTCAAGTTCTCCATATAATTAACCCTGGACAGGTCACACACTCTCAGCCTCAAAATAACTCAGTGAAAGGATCCAGGGCCAACTCCTAATAATAATAATAATAATAATAATAATGGATGTCCTTTTAATTCCGATTTCTCCTTTATCACAGAGCATGCAGCGGAGGTCGAAAGCGGAAATTGACTCCGCCAGCAAAGAGGCGGAGAGTTTAAGCGGAAGCGAGAAAAGCTTCGAGAGGTGAGTGGACGTGGCTGAGAGAGTGTGACCCTCTCAAGGAGATCCGAACCCTGGTCTCCAGATTCATGCTGACATTTCTCTCCTTTCTTTCTTTCTTTCTTTCTTTCTTTCTCTCTTTCTCTCTTTCTTTCTTCTAGGGAAAGGACACTGAAAATAGAGAACTTGGTGAGTATGAAATTTCACTGATATAGAGGTGTAGGGGAACCCAGAGGGCATCTAGACCATCCCCAAAACTTGGAGGAAAAAATTAGTATAGACTTATAGAATTGCAGAGTTATAGGGGAATCCCAAGGGTCATCTAGTCTAACCTCATGCCTGTGCAGGGAATCCACAGCTAGAGCTTAGAATAGTAGAGTTATAAGGGAGCCCCAGGAAAATGTATACCTATAGCTTTATCGAATTGCAGAGTTATAGGGGAATCCCAAGGGTCATCTAGTCTAGCCCCATGCCTGTGCAGGGAAGCCACAGCTAGAGCTTAGAAGAGTTATAGGGGACCCCAAATATCATCTAGTCCAGTCCCATGGCTGTGCAGGAAGTCTATAACTAAATAATAGAATGGGGACTAAGAGTCATGTCGGATCATAGAATCATAGAATCAAAGAGTTGGAAGAGACCTCCTGGGCCATCATCCAGTCCAACCCCATTCTGCCAAGAAGCAGGAATATTGCATTCAAAGCACCCCTGACAGATGGCCATCCAGCCTCTGTTTAAAAGCCTCCAAAGAAGGAGCCTCCACCACGCTCTGGGGCAGAGAGTTCCACTGCTGAACGGCTCTCGCAGTCAGGAAGTTCTTCCTCATGTTCAGATGAGGAAGAACTTCCAGCCTCACGTCGGTGCAGGAAACCTACAGCTAAAGCATGGAATAATAGAATTGCAGAGTTGTAGGGGAACCCAAGGGTCATCTAGTCCAGCCTTACGCTGGTGCAAAGAATCCACAGCTAAGGCATAGAATAGAAAAGCTATATGGGGACCCAAGGGCCATCTAGTCCAGCCCCACTGCTGCACAGGAAGTCCGTAGCTAAATTTATTTATTTATTTCGTGTACTTCTACCCAGTCCTTCTCAACCCCCGAGGGGGGACTCAGGGCGGCTTACAAAAAGGCACAATTTGATGCCTACACAGTAATACAGATACAATATAGACAGCAATTAAAACAGTTTTAACAGTTAAAAACAATCAATATATATCACAGTCAATAAAAAACCAACCTTATGCTCAACGTTCACAACTCAGAGTCCATAACTTCATTCCACATTTTCCATTCCCATCAGTCGTCGTCGTCCTTTATTTATCTGCCAGATTGCCCAAACGCCTGGTCCCAAATCCATGTTTTTAATTTCCTTCTAAAGGAAAGGAGGGATGGCGATGATCTAATTCCCCCGGGGAGTGAATTCCATAGGTGAGGGGCCACCACCGAGAAGGCCCTGCTCCTCGTCCCCGCCAGTCTCACTTGTGATAGAGGCGGGGCCGAGAGCAGGGCCTCCCTGGAGGATCTTAAACTCCGAGGTGGGACATAGAGGGAGAATGGAAGAGAAGAGAAAGAAGAGAATGGAAGAGATGCATGGGAACTTAAAGGTCATTCAGTCCAACTCCATGTCAGTGCAGGAAACCCATAGCTAAAGCATAGAATTGTGGAATTACTTATGTAACTCTTTATTGGGGGAAAATCTCCAATAATTTCCGGAAATGTCTGCACAATATTCTTTGAGGGGATTCCTAAAACCCATCTGTTTTCCTCTTCCAGCTGAAGAAGGTGCTGGTGGAAAATCAGCAGCTGAAAAACACCGTAAGTTGTGTTTCCTTAAGACTTGGCCCTCTTATGTTTATATATTTTAATATGCTCCAATGAATTTAATCTATGTATTTTAACTATCCCAGCCTTGAGGAGAAATAAGAAAGATATAAATTGTTGTTGTTGTTGTTGTTGTTGTTAGCCAGGAACACAAATCCCATTTTCTCCCAGTTTCCCTCATCATTATGTTTTGAGATCTTCAGAGAAGCTCCCCTTTCTATCCTATTCTCCCTATAGATACATCCGATGCCAACATGGGGTGCATCTACACCACAGTTTGGCACCACTTCAACTGCTCAATGTTATGGAATCTTGGGATTTGTAGTTTGGTGAAACACCAGCTCTCTTGGGCAGAGAAGACTAGAGACCTTGTAAAACTACAACTCCTAGCATTCCATAACATTGAGGCATGGCAGCTAAAGTGGTGTCAAAATGCATTAATTCTACAGTGTAGATGCATGCTAAGATGATCTCCCCCCCCCCCCCCCCCCAGTTTGGCACAAAAATAGTGATGTTGTTCCTCTTTTGCAGGTCATCTTGCTGAAGCAGCAAAACAAAGGTAATTAAATCTCTCTGGTCCTTCCTACACCAATTATCAAATCAGATAATCGCCATTATCTGCTTTGAACTGGATTATACGAGTCTACACTGCCATATATAAAAGTTCAAAGCAGATAATCTGGATTGTATATGGCAGTGTAGAAGGGGCCTCCATCTCTCTCTTTTTAAGGCCTTGAGAAATGCATTATTTCCCCCTATTTTGCACACAGAGACATTATCTCCCCCCTTCCTTTGTTCTCACTCTTTTACCTGCCTCTCTTTCACTTTCTTTTCTTAAGAGCCTCTTTTTCTCCTTCCTTCCTTCCTTTCTTCTTCTTTCTCCCCTTCTCCTTCTCTCTTTTTCCTACCCCACCTACCTACCTTTCTCTCTTTTTCTCTCCTCCCTCCTTCCCTTCCTTCCTTCCTTTCTTTCTTTCTTCTTTCTTTCTTCTTTCTTTCTTCCCCTTTTCCTTTCCTTCTTTCCTTTTCCTTCCTTCTTTCTTTCCCTCCTTCCTTCTCCCCTCACTCCTTCCCCCTTTTCCCTTCCTCCCTCCCTCCCTTTCTTCCTCCTTTCTTCCCTTCCTTCCTCCCTCCTTCATGGATGTACCCCAAGCTCTTGTTTGTAGGTGAAGCTGGAATTATCTAATGCGCTCATTTTATCTTTGCAGGGAAAGATAACAACTCAGAAGACTGCAAGAGGTCTGTATGGCTATGGCATATCTATGCTGGGAAGCTAGGGCCCTGGGAGTGATATCGAGCTCTTTTGGAGGGGGGTCTCCCGGCGGAGGAGATCCCTTAGGACCGCTCAAAAGGGCCCTTGAACCTTGGTGAGGCCAGCGGAAGCCAATTCGTGATAAAAATATTAAAAATAATAATGCCCCATCAAGGTGGAAGAAGTTTCCAGCAACCGAGGTTTATTTGTGATTCAGCTGAAATCAGATGCATTGCAGGGATCATTCCACCGCAAGCATACCAGTACAAAGAATACAGGCATATTTATAGTAGAAGAACAAAGGAAAACATTTCAAAATTCCCGCCCGCCCCTTGCCGGCCGGCTTCACGCTGATTGGCTGATGCTGGAGCAGCTGGGAGGAGGCTGGGCGGCCCGCCCCTGCTCTGGACCAATCAGCGCGTTTCTTCGCCTCTAGGGGGCCAATGAGCGCCCTCCGCTCGCCTCGCAAGATGGACAAATCAGGAGAGAGGAGGCGGTGCGGCCGTGAACAATGGAGGGGGAAAATGATGGGATTAGAAGTTCCCTGCCCGCTGGAATGCGGGCTTTGTTCCAGGCAGGCAAGGTGTGATCTTGACAAACAAAAGCTTTCCTGTCCTTAATGAGCTTTGAAGGGAAATATGAATGGCTTTTTCGACATCGGACCTCAGGGGGGATCAACGATGTCTTGATGATTTAATCAATCTTTTCTTTCCGAGTTTCTGTTGACCCCCTCCCCTCGCTGGTCTTGCTCCGAGGGCCAGGGTTGGGGATCAACAGTATTGTCCATGCTGGTGAATTAATCAAGGGTGATTGAGGGAGAGGCTGGAGCCCTCCCTCAGGCAGTTCCTGGTCACAGCAGTTTTTGTGGGGCAAGGGTCAAGGGGACGAGGGTACAGAGGAAATTCATAAGGTTACATACATATATCAAAATCATAGGCAATAGGCATCACTGATACAGAGTTAGAACAGAAGAGGAACCCCTTCCCACCCCATAAAGTTTATTTCAATAATTGATCTTTATTAAGGCATAAGCTGGAGGCTTCATAAACTTTGAAAAGGGTAGTTCGTGGTCATGGATATGATAAATAGTCCAGTGCATAAGTCAGAGAGTCACAAAAAGGAAACAGGAACCCAGTTATGTGCGCTGGGTCAGGCAGCAACAGAATCCATTGTCCGGCCCTTGGCGAACTAGATCTCCCGCGCTGGGGCCGGGGTCCCCGCCTGGCCGCTTCTCCGGGACCTCCTATGGGTGCCCACAGCAAGCCCCTGATGGCGGGACCGAGCAGGAACGAGCGGCAGCAAAGGAAAGCAGGCTGCTTTTGCCGAGCGGGCACAGTTTTGGCAATCAGCTGTTTGCTGTCAAATAATAATACTTTAAACAAAATGATTATTCCCCGAGCGCAGGAGTCCAAAATGAGGAAAGCGAGATGGCAGTTAGTCTTAGAATTAATAGCAGAAAAATGCAAAATTAGAACGGCGTCAATCCGCCATTTTACTGTTTTTGTGGTTACTGGGGTCCAAAATGGCGGTTTCGGTATCTGCGATTTTTCCGAACGCAGATCCGGGGTCCGGGGGGGGGGGCAGTAGGCGCCCCCCAGCAGGCTCACGGCTCTCCGGAGCCTGGAAAAAGGTTTATTTTAATGTTGAATTAGTCTGAGGCAGGGAAAGATACAAAAGTATCAAGCGGAAAGATTAAATGTTGCAAGTTTCAAGTACTTTTATTAGGGCTTGTTACAAGGTAGGGAGAGGGGAAAGCAAAGAAAGGCTGCAGGCATTCTTATTATTGAGCTGCCTGCTGGGGCACATTTCATCAGTTTCTTCCAATTGTGACAACCAGGAACTGCGGAACTCTCCGCTGCAGTGCAGGCCAATCGTTGGCGGGGGCCCTCCGCCATCAGGAGCATCTGCACTGTGTAAAGAACACAGTTTGACACCACATTCACTGCTGTGGCTCAAGGTTAGGGAATCCTGGGAGTCCTAATTTCACAATTTCAGTAACCTTCTCTGCTGCCGCCACACAAAACTGCAACTCCCGTTAGTCCATAGCATGTAGACATGTGTTGCAAAAGTGGTGTTAAACTGCATTAGTTCCACAGTGCAGATGCACCCCTGTTGGTTTAACATTGACAGTGATGCGTCCTTCCTCCCGCTCTCTCCTTTCTCAGGTCGAAAGAAAAACTCCTGACCGAAATCGGGTCTCTCTTGACCGAAATTGCTTTCCTGAAGGAAGTGCGGGAGCAGCTGGTGAGTGGATCCAATCGGAATGCACTTCAGGAATCTTTGAACTTGGAAGGAGCAATGTGTTGTTGTTGTTGTTATTGCTTTAAAGTACTTTCTCACTCACCACAAACCTAAAAGTGACCAAAAGGCTGGATGGCCATCTGTCAGGAGGGTTTGGATTGTGTCTTCTGTGGGTTAGGCAAAACTATGGTGAAGTGGATCAGTAATTGGTTAAATGGACGAACCCAGAGGGTGCTCACCAATGCTTCCTCTTCATCCTGGAAAGAAAGAAGTGACGAGCGGAGTGCCATCCGCAGGGTTCCGTCCTGGGCCCGGTCCTGTTCAACATCTTTATTAATGACTTAGATGAAGAGTTAGAAGGCAGGATCATCAAGTTTGCAGACGATACCAAATTGGGAGGGAGAGCCAATACTCCAGAGGACAGGAGCAGGATTCAAAAGGATCCTGACAGATTAGAGAGATGAATGGCCAAAACTAACAAAATGAAGTTCAACGGTGACAAATGCAAGATACTCCACTTTGGCAGGAAAAACGAAATGCAAAGATACAGAATGGGGGACAATGCCTGGCTCGAGAGCAGTACGTGTGAAAAAGATCTTGGAGTCCTCGTGGACAACAAGTTAAACATGAGCCAACAATGTGATGTGGCAGCAAAAAAACCAATGGGATTTTGGCCTGCATCAATAGGAGCCTAGTGTCTAGATCTAGGGAAGTCCTGCTCCCCATGCTCTATTCCGCTTTGGTTAGACCACACCTGGAATATTGTGTCCAATTCTGGGCACCACAATTCAAGAGAGAAATTGACAAGCTGGAATGTGTCCAGAGGAGGGCAACTAAAATGATCAAGGGTCTGGAGAACAAGCCCTATGAGGAGCGGCTTAAGGAGCTGGGCATGTTTAGCCTGAAGAAGAGAAGGCTGAGAGGAGATATGATAGCCATGTATAAATATGTGAGAGAGGAAGGAGGGAGCAAGCTTGTTTTCTGCTTCCCTGGAGACTAGGACGTGGAACAATGGCTTCAAACTACAAGAGAGGAGATTCCATCTGAACATCAGGAAGAACTTCCTGACTGTGAGAGCCGTTCAGCAGTGGAACTCTCTGCCCCGGAGTGTGGTGGAGGCTCCTTCTTTGGAAGCTTTTAAACAGAGGCTGGATGGCCATCTGTCAGGGGTGATTTGAACGCAATATTCCTGCTTCTTGGCAGAATGGGGTTGGACTGGATGGCCCATGAGGTCTCTTCTAACTCTTTGATTCTATGATTCTATTATTCTTCCTGCCTAGCAAAAGAAGGTTGAACTGGATTACCTTTGGGTGTCCCTTTCAACTCTAATATAGATTGCTTGGGAATCCAGTGGGGTCTCCTCTGAAAGTCTTTTCAACTGCGGTTGGATGACCATCTGTCAGGAGGGCTCAGAGTGTGTCTTCCTGCATCACAGAATGGGGTAGAACTAGATGGCCTTCGAGGGTCTCTTGCAGCTTCTATACAAAGCTTGACCAAGCAGAATAGAGTGAGAATATGACTTCACTTGATCAAGACATTCTCCTCTTATGGATGCAGCCTAGAATCACAATGGCCTTTTTAAATGCCGCATCACACTGTTAGCTCATGTTCATCTTGTGGTCAACTAAGACCTTTATATCCCTTTCACATGGACACTTTTCAAGGCAGATATCACCATCCTAGATCTGCATAAACTCCTACGGATGCAGCCTGGAATCACATTGTACTCTTTGTACAGTAAAAGGGATGAGTTGCACCTCAGCCTTGTGGTCCATTGCTTTTTTGTTATTGTTGTTGCTCGGCCAATGGCTTTGCTCTACAATAGCTTTAATTTGCTCTACAAATTAAGGCTATTGATTTAATCCCCTGGCCTCTAGTGCCTGATTGGATAGATACACTACGACAGTGTTTCTCAACTTGGAGGTCGGGACCCCTGGGGGGGTCTCAAGGTGATGTCAGAGGAGTCACCAAAGACCATCGGAAGACACAGTATTTTCTGTTTTCTCATGGTGGTTCCATGTGCAGGTGAGGGAGAGTGTGCGAGGCTGGAGAGAGGTTTGCGGGTGTGAGTCCCTTCAAGACATGATGGTTCTGTGTGGGAAGCTTGGCCCAATTCTATCATTGGTGGGGTTCAGAATGCTCTTTGATTAGAGGTGAACTATAAATCCCAGCAACTACAACTCCCAAATGTCAAGGTCTATTTCCCCCCAAACTCCACCAGTGTTCACATTTGGGCACATTGAGTATCCCTGCCAAGTTTGGTCCAGATCCATCATTGCTTGGGTCCACAGTGCTTTCTGGGTGTAGGTGAACTACAACTCCTAAACTCAAAGTCAGTGCCCACCAAATCCTTCCAGGATTTTCTCTTGGTCATGGGAGTTCTGTGTGCCAAGTTTGGTTCAATTCCCTCATTGGTGGAGGTCAGAATGCTCTTTGATTGTAGATGAACTATAAATCCCAGTAACTACAACTCCCAAATGTCAAGGTTTATTTCCCCCAAACTCCATCTGTGTTCATATTTGGGCATATGGAACATTTGTGCCAAGGTTCTTGTGGGTTTTTTCGGGCTATAGGGCCATGTTCTAGAGGCCCTATAGCCCGAAAAAACCCACAAGAACCTAGTGATTCCAGCCATGAAAGCCTTTGACAATACATTTGTGCCAAGTTTAGTCGAGATCCATCATTGTTTGAGTCCACAGTGCTCTCTGGATGTAGGTGAACTACAACTCCCAAACTCAAGGTCAATGCCCACTACACCCTTCCAGTGTTTCTGTTGGTCATGGGAGTCCTGTGTGCCACCTTTGGTTCAATTCCATCATTGGTGGAGTTCAGAATGCTCTTGGATTGTAGGTGAACTATAAATCCCAGCAACTACAACTCCCAAATGGCAAAATAAATTTTTTGAGTAATAGTCACTCCTTGGGTTAGTAAATGTCTCGTGGGTAAATTTGGAGGCAATTCATCCAGTTGTTTCTGAGTTATGTGAATCCCACAAACGAACAATACATTTTTATTTATATAGATTTAGTTAATGCAGTGTTTCCTAAATTCCTAGAGTTCAATCTAAGGCAGTGTTTCCCGGCATTCCTAATGCTGTGACCCCTGAATACAGTTTATAATATAAAATATCTAATTATGTTGTTGTTGTTGTTCATTCGTTCAGTCGTCTCCGACTCTTTGTGACCTCATGGACCAGCCCACGCCAGAGCTCCCTGTCGGCCGTCACCACCCCCAGCTCCTTCAAGGAGCTAATTATCTAATTATAATATTGTATTATTATTAGCAGTAGTATTATATTGTATTACATTATCTAATTATAATATTGTATTATTATTATTATTAGTATTATATTGTATTAATTATCTAATTATAATATTGTATTATTATTATTAGTAGTATTATATTGTATTACATTATAGTATTATCAATATTATATGTTATTATATTATATTATATTATATTATATTATATTATATTATATTATATTATTAGCACAGTGCAGGAGACAAGGTGGAACTCTCTATGCAGCCCAAAAGACAGTTGCATCTGTCAAGTAGGAAATTTAGGTACCGCTTTATGCGGGGAGGCTAATTTAACTAATTTACGACACCATAAAACCTTCCAGCAGTGTGCATAAGAATGAGGAAGTACTCCATCAAGGACTTGGTGTCACAAGTGGATAGTGAGGCAGCAGCTCCCCTGCTGGCTGGAATCAAGCATACCCTCATGAAGCTAGAATAGCTGGAATGTTAAATTTCCTTTGTGTCTGTCTATATATGTTGTATGTCTAAATGGCGTTGAATGTTTACCATGTATATGTGCATTATAATCCGCCCTGAGTCCTCTGTGGAGTGAGAAGGGTGGAATATAAATACGGTTGCCAAAAGTATTTGCAATGTATATGTGCATTGTAATCTGCCCTGAGTCCCCTGCGGGGTGAGAAGGGTGGAATATAAATACTGTTACAAAAAAGAATTCAAACATATTAGTTTATCTTCTGGTAAAATGACCTCCTTCGACACCTTTAGCAATAACGTTTCCAACAATTCGAGCAACATTTTCTCCTGATGTTTTGCCTGCATCTGTATGCAGGCAAAACATCAGGAGAAAATGCTGCTTGAACATGGTCATACAGCCCAGAAACCACACAACACCCCGTTCTTTAGTAAAATCTTGACCCTTTCACTCTTTCTCCAGCGGTACCAGGACCCGGAGGCCCGGAGAGAGGCCACCAAGGCGTTGACGGAGAGCATCCAAGCCAAGCTGGAGGTGGCCCAGGCCAAGATCGAGGCGGCCGAGGCCAAGAAGGAGACCTTGGAGGCCCACCGGAAGGCGGCCGAGGCCAAGGAGACGGCCGAAGCAGCCCAAGCCCGGGAGGAGAGCCTCCTCTCCTACATCTCCCGCATCGCCAGCCTGGCTTACCAGCAGGCGGCTGAGGCTGAGCATGACTGTGCCCGAGCACGCCAGGCTATGGCGACTGCGGAGGCCGTCCAGGCGGCTGCCCTCTCCGACGGCAAGCTTCGTCGGGGTCATAAGCATCACCACCACCACCGCAGCAGCGGCCACTGGAGCCACGGAGAGTGCCGGTGCCACCACAACCACCACCATCACCACCACCCTCCTCCGAGCCACCAAGAGATACCGAGGGGCCGCTGCGAATCCCAAAGCGAGGTGCTCCACTCCGAACCGGAGACCCTGAGCAGCAGCCGATGAGGGCGGGATGGAGCCCAAGAGGAGCAGGATCACTGGCCGGTGGCAATGCCGCTGTTTTGGAAGCATGGCACAGGATTAAAATATCTTTGAATACTTTTTTGCATGCTATGTGTATGTAAACTGGTACACACATGCGCACACCATGTTCACATGGAGTCAGTTATATGTCTCATTCCAACCAACACCTCCAACGCAGTGTGTGGTTAGCACTATGCATCGCTATGCATACTTATCCATAGCTATTATCCGTAAATGTAAACTGGTACACAGATGCGCACACCATGTTCACATGGAGTCAGTTATATGTCTCATTCCAACCAACACCTCCAACGCAGTGTGTGGTTAGCACTATGCATCGCTATGCATACTTATCCATAGCTATTATCCGTAAATGTAAACTGGTACACAGATGCGCACACCATGTTCACATGGAGTCAGTTATATGTCTCATTCCAACCAACACCTCCAACGCAGTGTGTGGTTAGCACTATGCATCGCTATGCATACTTATCCATAGCTATTATCCGTAAATGTAAACTGATACACAGATGCGCACACCATGTTCACATGGAGTCAGTTATATGTCTCATTCCAACCAACACCTCCAACGCAGTGTGTGGTTAGCACTATGCATCGCTATGCATACTTATCCATAGCTATTATCCGTAAATGTAAACTGGTACACAGATGCGCACACCATGTTCACATGGAGTCAGTTATATGTCTAAATGCCAACCAACACCTCCAATGCAGTGTGTGGTTAGCACTATGCATCGCTATGCATACTTATCCATAGCTATTATCCGTAAATGTAAACTGGTACACAGATGCGCACACCATGTTCACATGGAGTCAGTTATATGTCTCATTCCAACCAACACCTCCAACGCAGTGTGTGGTTAGCACTATGCATCGCTATGCATACTTATCCATAGCTATTATCCGTAAATGTAAACTGGTACACACATGCGCACACCATGTTCACATGGAGTCAGTTATATGTCTCATTCCAACCAACACCTCCAATGCAGTGTGTGGTTAGCACTATGCATCGCTATGCATACTTATCCATAGCTATTATCCGTAAATGTAAACTGGTACACACATGCGCACACCATGTTCACATGGAGTCAGTTATATGTCTCATTCCAACCAACACCTCCAATGCAGTGTGTGGTTAGCACTATGCATCGCTATGCATACTTATCCATAGCTATTATCCGTAAATGTAAACTGGTACACAGATGCGCACACCATGTTCACATGGAGTCAGTTATATGTCTAAATGCCAACCAACACCTCCAATGCAGTGTGTGGTTAGCACTATGCATCGCTATGCATACTTATCCATAGCTATTATCCGTAAATGTAAACTGGTACACAGATGCGCACACCATGTTCACATGGAGTCAGTTATATGTCTCATTCCAACCAACACCTCCAATGCAGTGTGTGGTTAGCACTATGCATCGCTATGCATACTTATCCATAGCTATTATCCGTAAATGTAAACTGGTACACAGATGCGCACACCATGTTCACATGGAGTCAGTTATATGTCTAAATGCCAACCAACACCTCCAATGCAGTGTGTGGTTAGCACTATGCATCGCTATGCATACTTATCCATAGCTATTATCCGTAAATGTAAACTGGTACACAGATGCGCACACCATGTTCACATGGAGTCAGTTATATGTCTAAATGCCAACCAACACCTCCAATGCAGTGTGTGGTTAGCACTATGCATCGCTATGCATACTTATCCATAGCTATTATCCGTAAATGTAAACTGGTACACAGATGCGCACACCATGTTCACATGGAGTCAGTTATATGTCTCATTCCAACCAACACCTCCAACGCAGTGTGTGGTTAGCACTATGCATCGCTATGCATACTTATCCATAGCTATTATCCGTAAATGTAAACTGATACACAGATGCGCACACCATGTTCACATGGAGTCAGTTATATGTCTCATTCCAACCAACACCTCCAACGCAGTGTGTGGTTAGCACTATGCATCGCTATGCATACTTATCCATAGCTATTATCCGTAAATGTAAACTGGTACACAGATGCGCACACCATGTTCACATGGAGTCAGTTATATGTCTCATTCCAACCAACACCTCCAATGCAGTGTGTGGTTAGCACTATGCATCGCTATGCATACTTATCCATAGCTATTATCCGTAAATGTAAACTGGTACACAGATGCGCACACCATGTTCACATGGAGTCAGTTATATGTCTCATTCCAACCAACACCTCCAATGCAGTGTGTGGTTAGCACTATGCATCGCTATGCATACTTATCCATAGCTATTATCCGTAAATGTAAACTGGTACACAGATGCGCACACCATGTTCACATGGAGTCAGTTATATGTCTAAATGCCAACCAACACCTCCAATGCAGTGTGTGGTTAGCACTATGCATCGCTATGCATACTTATCCATAGCTATTATCCGTAAATGTAAACTGGTACACAGATGCGCACACCATGTTCACATGGAGTCAGTTATATGTCTAAATGCCAACCAACACCTCCAATGCAGTGTGTGGTTAGCACTATGCATCGCTATGCATACTTATCCATAGCTATTATCCGTAAATGTAAACTGGTACACAGATGCGCACACCATGTTCACATGGAGTCAGTTATATGTCTCATTCCAACCAACACCTCCAATGCAGTGTGTGGTTAGCACTATGCATCGCTATGCATACTTATCCATAGCTATTATCCGTAAATGTAAACTGGTACACAGATGCGCACACCATGTTCACATGGAGTCAGTTATATGTCTCATTCCAACCAACACCTCCAATGCAGTGTGTGGTTAGCACTATGCATCGCTATGCATACTTATCCATAGCTATTATCCGTAAATGTAAACTGGTACACAGATGCGCACACCATGTTCACATGGAGTCAGTTATATGTCTCATTCCAACCAACACCTCCAACGCAGTGTGTGGTTAGCACTATGCATCGCTATGCATACTTATCCATAGCTATTATCCGTAAATGTAAACTGGTACACAGATGCGCACACCATGTTCACATGGAGTCAGTTATATGTCTCATTCCAACCAACACCTCCAACGCAGTGTGTGGTTAGCACTATGCATCGCTATGCATACTTATCCATAGCTATTATCCGTAAATGTAAACTGGTACACAGATGCGCACACCATGTTCACATGGAGTCAGTTATATGTCTCATTCCAACCAACACCTCCAACGCAGTGTGTGGTTAGCACTATGCATCGCTATGCATACTTATCCATAGCTATTATCCGTAAATGTAAACTGGTACACAGATGCGCACACCATGTTCACATGGAGTCAGTTATATGTCTCATTCCAACCAACACCTCCAATGCAGTGTGTGGTTAGCACTATGCATCGCTATGCATACTTATCCATAGCTATTATCCGTAAATGTAAACTGGTACACAGATGCGCACACCATGTTCACATGGAGTCAGTTATATGTCTAAATGCCAACCAACACCTCCAATGCAGTGTGTGGTTAGCACTATGCATCGCTATGCATACTTATCCATAGCTATTATCCGTAAATGTAAACTGGTACACAGATGCGCACACCATGTTCACATGGAGTCAGTTATATGTCTAAATGCCAACCAACACCTCCAACGCAGTGTGTGGTTAGCACTATGCATCGCTATGCATACTTATCCATAGCTATTATCCGTAAATGTAAACTGGTACACAGATGCGCACACCATGTTCACATGGAGTCAGTTATATGTCTCATTCCAACCAACACCTCCAACGCAGTGTGTGGTTAGCACTATGCATCGCTATGCATACTTATCCATAGCTATTATCCGTAAATGTAAACTGGTACACAGATGCGCACACCATGTTCACATGGAGTCAGTTATATGTCTCATTCCAACCAACACCTCCAATGCAGTGTGTGGTTAGCACTATGCATCGCTATGCATACTTATCCATAGCTATTATCCGTAAATGTAAACTGGTACACAGATGCGCACACCATGTTCACATGGAGTCAGTTATATGTCTAAATGCCAACCAACACCTCCAACGCAGTGTGTGGTTAGCACTATGCATCGCTATGCATACTTATCCATAGCTATTATCCGTAAATGTAAACTGGTACACACATGCGCACACCATGTTCACATGGAGTCAGTTATATGTCTCATTCCAACCAACACCTCCAATGCAGTGTGTGGTTAGCACTATGCATCGCTATGCATACTTATCCATAGCTATTATCCGTAAATGTAAACTGGTACACACATGCGCACACCATGTTCACATGGAGTCAGTTATATGTCTCATTCCAACCAACACCTCCAATGCAGTGTGTGGTTAGCACTATGCATCGCTATGCATACTTATCCATAGCTATTATCCGTAAATGTAAACTGGTACACACATGCGCACACCATGTTCACATGGAGTCAGTTATATGTCTCATTCCAACCAACACCTCCAATGCAGTGTGTGGTTAGCACTATGCATCGCTATGCATACTTATCCATAGCTATTATCCGTAAATGTAAACTGGTACACACATGCGCACACCATGTTCACATGGAGTCAGTTATATGTCTCATTCCAACCAACACCTCCAACGCAGTGTGTGGTTAGCACTATGCATCGCTATGCATACTTATCCATAGCTATTATCCGTAAATGTAAACTGGTACACAGATGCGCACACCATGTTCACATGGAGTCAGTTATATGTCTGAATGTTTACATACACGCCAATTTTACGTTGCATTCCAACCAATACTTCCGATGCATCGTATGGTTTGCATTGTGCATTGTTATGTATTAATACATATAATTATCTGTAAGTATTATCCATAAACATGCACAAATATTATGCATTATCGAAGGCTTTAATGGCTGGAAACACTGGGTTGTTGTAAGTTTTTTCGGGCTATATGGCCATGGCCTAGAGGCATTTCTCCTGACGTTTCACCTGCATCTATGGCAAGCATCCTCAGAGGTAGTGAGGTCTGTTGGAACTAGGAAAAAGGGTTTATATATCTATGCAA